AAAGGTTCTGCCTGTGTTAAATGGAGGTAGCACGAAATGTAGCCTCATTTGGGATGCCTCCTAAGTGAGATAACGGCGCACACTTTGACGTTAGAGGCGAAATACTATGTGTTTTGCGTTTACACGTCAACACTGAGAACTGAGTCATGAAAAGGAGTCTTTCAAAAGGTCAGTTTGTATGTCGAGAAAATGCTAAAATGTATCAAAAAGGCTGTCTTTTACAAAATGTGGACTAGGCCTTAAACCAAACAGTACATTTTAAACCAAATCAATGAGCTAAAAGACGGTCCAATGCTTCTTAGAACTAAGTTGGGTGGTTATCTGTTGGTTTGTCTCTCATAGTCTGTTATTCAGTTGCTGAAATAAAATAATTGATAAGTGCATCTATATCAAATACTATTAGAGGGCATGCACGTAGACTCGATTGCTTGAACTCCTCTGTGTGTTAGTGAAAAGTTAAATAACAACAACAGAGAGAAGAAACTAATTAAGCAGGTGTGATATCCTCTGCTATGACTGAGTCTCCTCTGTTGTACGATGCTCGGTGCTATTACAGTCCAGTGGAGCTTCACAGCACTAAAGAGAGGGAGAGAGTGGGACCGGCGCCAGCTCACCCCACCCTTACTGCTGCTGCCTGCAGAGTGAGGAGTGCTGCATTTCCTGAGGGCAATGCAGAGGACAAGGAAGAAGAAGAAGAAGAAGAGGCTCACTTCTGTTAAGGTCACCATAGAGCGAATCATAGCGGCGGTGTGCAAACCACAGAGAGCCTGCGGCGGACAGAGACACTGAGAGGGACACAGAGAGACAGATGGACACGATAGAGAAAGAGACAGATGAGCTGCAGCATTCAGTGTGATGCGTCTACTGTCCAATGTTCTCCAGCTTCACGCCATCACAGGACAGCAGTGGGAATGAATCATTTTCACACCCAGAAAAATTGCGCCCACTTCTTTCAGTCACATGGCTTGACTGTTCTGGGGGACGTGTTTGTTTGTTCGCTGTTTTAGGGTTACTGCCCTCGACAGCTGAGGGGTTTTAATATGAAATACAGCCTTATGATGAAGCTTTATGCAACATGTTGTCTAGTTCACACTCTTAGAAACAAGATGCTTTAGAGTATGTTTTTAAAGATTATATTTTAAGGAAATGGATGGCAAAAATTTAACTCAATATCTCCTGCATTTTTTTTTATTGAATTTGAAGGCAGAAATACTTAAAATGTTCTAAGTACCAGTTTCTCAAATGTAATTGCAACTTTTTTAGACAAAATCATCAGTTTGAAGAAGTCACCTTGGGATTTATAATAATGCGATGGGGATACTTTTTTTATAAATACAATTACAATATCTTTTTGTCGCAGCTCTAATAACTTCATAATCCCACACTTAGCGAATGCACAAAACCTCAGAAGTCACGATCTGATGGATTTGAGCGTGAGGAAGCAGGGGAGCTCTTCAGGCCCTGGAGGTATGTAACCACTCGCAGGGAATGACAGAGGTAAGCAGGCCTCCCCTGGGACAAGAGGATTAGTGTGTAACCATTACCTTATATTAGCCCTGTGAATCACTGCTAATGGCTTCAGTGAGAGGGTACTGTAGCACAAAGGTGGGACGCGCTTAAATTGAGACCTCGAGGTCTGGGGAAATGCACATCAGGATATTTCTGCAGATGCTTTGATTAATGGAGGTTTTTGTGCAGGCAGATACAATCCCCCACCCCGAGCCGAAATGAGCATACACCAGCAGATCCTTAAAAATTTATTGAAGTTAATGTAAGAGGAAATCATAAGTGATATAAGAAAAAGAAAAACAAATAACCCTTGCATAGATCACAGACCATGCCTTTGTCATCATGTGACAAACTGAACACATTGTAGCATAATCCTTGGTAAAACACAACATGACAATGACGGCTGGATTAGATAACACAATCAGAGTTTGGTTTGCTTGTGGATGAAAAGAAGAGCAGAAGAGTCCTTTTTGAGATTTGCTCCAAAAAAAACGTCCCTACAAGCGAAGTTTAAATGTGCATTCTTGACAGGAAAGACAAACTCATAGCCTTTACACTTCTAACACAAACAAGATCTTCTCATCAATACACAACATCCCAACATTTGATCCTGTTCCTCCTCAGCAGGCAGAAAGCAGTCCGACACCTTCAGCACAAAGAAGGCCTTAAAACCAATGTAGTACAGAGGAGGGTGTGTGGCACAGGCCCTGTTTAGACATGATGGGCACGCTTCCAACAATGCAGTATCACTACAGTCTAGACTGAGATAAGAACGGGCAAAATGTCACTTGAAAGAGCGTTTCAGTCCTAGAATAGAGATAGTTTGAGAAACTAGCTCACATTCAGAGCCCAACCTGAAAATCACACAAGAGACGCGGAGCACGGCTCGGACACCCAACGCCATCTGAGTGATGAGGTCAGCGCTAAGGTGCTTTTTAAGAAATCCCGCAGAGGACACGTTTCATGACAAACTTCTGAACAGGGCCTTACAAGAAGCCTTGGTGCAGATGAAAGCAAGGGTCTCTTTTTTTCTTTTTTTAAATGATGCAACCGTGTTATAGTTGATCCACAGTTTGAAAGGCAAAACTCATGCAGTCCTTCATCGACCATGCAGTTTTTTGCGATTAGTAGGTTTCTGTAGAGATACATCATAGCAGTAGGTTCGGCGGTGGAAAAATGTCAACATGGTGTTTGAATGAATCCTGTTGTTTTTTTTCTTAAAACCAAAAAGACAAACCATAAGATTTTTTTTAATAATAGTACACTTTTTGAGCATATCATTTAGTGTATAGCAATTGATCATAATACAGTAGTTTCATTATCATGGCTTGCCCGAGGAACAAATTGTCTTTGATATTCCAGGATATGGCATGTTCTTCCTAAATCATTTTACAGTGCCACCGAAAAGAAAAGGAAAATAAAAACACACAGTAAAATTGTTTTTCATACGTATTTGCAGGTTATAGTGGTTACTTTTCTCTATCTTATTGTAGCTAAATTGCATTTTGTTCTCGTGACATTTCATGTTTTTTTTCTTATAGTTTGATTAGGTTAATGTCGTCATTTTTTTTTAGATCTTCTCACTCGTGTTTGTTTGCAGAAGCATTAGCATCTAACGTTAAGCTAGACAAATGAATATGTAAAACAATTTAGGCACCTTCTCTGACTTTCTCTCACACAGCTGATCAGTCCAGTGAACTGATGATAGATCCTCTCTAAGTGCATTATGGGCTTTTCCTTTGGGACTGTGTTCTAGGTTCGAATGAACCCGTCAGCAGCCTTTGTTCCTGACTGAAAAACAACTCCAGTCCGACCTCGGTGTTTAATGGGGACTGCCTCTCTTTCAAAGCCTATATTTAACAAGCATTTCTCCCAATAAAATGTCATCCTCTACATTCGACCCTACTGACCTTACAAAATCACAGAACAGAGGACAATCGGTTGGAACATAAACAGCCCTGTTGTGAGTTGTCTGTCACGTGATCGCAGTTTCTCCGACATTCAAAATAGATTTGTTTTCCTATATTTTTTGTTACAAAAAGCATCTAAGAAACAGGTTATCTGATATTCTATTGCTGTTAAGAATGCATGTTTCTGTTGGGTATTTGAATGCATAGCACCATCCATACATGCCTCACAGCACTGCTAACGTGAGGAGCTTATTTTTATTTTCTTTACCTCACTTTTAGCTGTTTCCTGTAGGACATGTTACACACATCACTACCTTCAAGTATCAGTCGTACAAGAAACTCGCAAACAATTTCCTGATAGCTGCATTAACGAGACTACTATAATTTCCGTGAATCTATACATAGCAATATAACATATGGTACTGGGGATTAGTAATGTCCTTCTGTATGAGAAACCCTACACAAATTGAAGATCCCTGACACAAATGTGTATCTTATTTTGCTCTCATGATAAGTTACTGACATCTAGCAAGGCTCTTGAATTTTAACCTCAACCTGAGGCAGACACTCTTCAGCAGTACAGCAAAAGAAATCATCAAAGAAAATGAACAAAGCGGACCAACCAGCATACAAAAACCAAACAGGGACAAGAATGGAAAAGTACAGTAGTCCTGTACTAGCACCACAAAGAATAGCAGAAACAAATATATGACATTCAAGTAGCATTGCAGCGGAGATTTTCTTTTACAGGACATTGTCAAGAGAGTGCTTAATACAAATAAAAAGAGGGTACAGTACGTTATAAAATCTTACTATTATTTGGGTCAATTCATCTCAATGCTGAGTGAAGATCGATGTACAGTAGCTGGAGATTTTCAAGTAGTCATAACTTATCCTAATCTATCTGCAGTTAGTCTGGAACAATATGCTAGGAAACAATGCACTACATATGAGCAAGCACAGGGAAATAATAAAAAAATAAATGTTTGCGCTAGAAAACAAAATGATTGTGCAAAAAGGCGGGCTGCACATCACTGTGCATAATAATGCCCATAACAAACCGTCTTAAAAACACATTGAGGTGACGAAACAGTAACTTCAGATACCATTGTTTCAAAGAAAGCAACATATAAAACAGTCAATCTCCTCCCGTAAAGAGAGTCAAGCAGTCTCTACATACTCTCTCCATATGAATGTTCTGATTGTGCGTAGCGTTAAGTGAACAAAAGGAGCGGGATCGTGATACACTATTTGTCCTAAGTGCTTGTGTAAAGGCTATGCTTTGGGACTCTCACATTCAATGTTGCATGACTGCAGTTTACACTTAAGGTTCCATTTTGCATTATGGTAAAGGAAGCCCTGCATTGAAGCTTGCAGCTCTGCAGCAAGTTTGCAATGACCTCACTGAGGTAGAGACCCTGAAAGGATGCATGGTGCACGGAAAAGAAAGAAAAACAACAGACATAAATCAAATATGTTAAAAACCCTATGGAAATTCCCTTTTGAATTGGATTGGTAAACATGCAGAGTACAATACATTGCTGCTTAAGGGCATAATTAAGTGCGTGACAGCATGAAAACCGGGTTGTGCATAACAGCCATGGATCATCTTTTGTTTTTGACCACAATCACCTGCTGTTTCAACCTTGCTCATCTGGCATCGTTTACATCGTAACCAACAACAACACTCGAACAGAAGGTAAACCAGCTGTGCTCAACCTCACAAATCCCATTGTACACAGAGGCACTTTCACTGGTCCTGGTGGTGAAAGGGATAAAGGCACTAGCAACTAATGTCAGAATAATTCTCTGTAATATGAAGTGAAATTTGGTCTTGATCCTTTTTTCAGTGGATTCCTAACCAATGTGTACTCAAATTTGATGTGGAAATGGAAGCATGACTAATGATATGTTAACTTTTCTTGTTCAAAGAAAGTCCATGCACTGCACTATTGAAGTAATACTGTAATTGGTGCTTATTATAATTATATGCATTTTTGATAATACTTATTCAGTTTCTTTGACTACCTTTAAATGAGAAACTCTGCATCCTCAAGGTGGGTTTGGATATATTTGATCGCAATTCGGAAAACATCCAGAATTTGATTTCCTTAGCTTCCCTGACAATAGGGCACTGCAGAGTGCCTGAATTGCAACAAGCTGAATACTCATGTCATGCATTAAATATACCAGGATACAAAAGTACCTTAGTCAATAGACCATAATGCAGGTAACTTTTATCATGCTATGATCTCATTTATGTACTGTTTCCTTAAGATTTAACATTCAATTTCTATACTTCTAAATGATTAGCATTTCAAATTAATAACTCATCCAGTGCACTCGGTATGAAAACAGATGAGAAGAGGGGGATGGAGGCAGGTATCCAAAAGAACATCCTTTCCATTATGTGAGATATGTCTCGTGCATGCCGATATCAAAATGGAAAGTCTCTAATCATGCTCGTGTGAAGCTCACTTTAACATTGTGCTGTGTTGCATCTAAAGGGCATGGCATTGAATCACTTGGTGATATCACAATTACAGCATCTGCTGGAAAACAGCAGCATTGCGGATGTCCGTGAAGCGAGCAGATCACCATCTGTTTACATCCAAACAAGAGAGATCAGTCTTCCTCCTATAAGGTGCTTTGCTGAATAGTAGATATCCTTTGTAGGGAGAGAGGAGGGAGGAAGGAGGAGGGACGGGGGTCACCTAACTTCTTGGCGCTTACCACTTGGCTGCAGGTGCTTGCATGTCTCTGCAGACTTTTCTGGTGCATTGTGCAACTTGCTGAAATGTTTTCTGTACTCCATGCATAAGATTTTAGTATCACGCCGTCATTGGATGAGACAGTGTGCGCTCTGCGTCCTCCAGGGAGCCGTGTATATGCGTAATATTCGATGTTTTCTTTTTGATGTACCTATATATTTGTAGGATCAGAAGAATTAATTATTCTATCTACCTGTCATTCACTCTAAGAGCTTTGATTTTTCTTTCCTTTCTATATAGCTTAGCATAGTTGTAGGCCTAATGCCATAGAGCGCTTTGAGGAGGTAAATGAAGCATTCTTAACTGATGGTCTACTCCACATATGACAGTCCCATAGAGATCCTCTAAGTTCCTAGCTAGTTTCTAAACATCTGTAAGCAGCTTGCTTTTATTTACACAGTTTTGGTTGGCTATAGTGCAATTGCCAGTTCTGAGGTTTGCCTCCCTAAAGTTGTCGATGCTATTGTTTATGTCTCCATCGATCTCCATGTACTCTGACTTGCTGACGGTGGATGAACTACGGCGGCTGGAGTTGGTTTCAGAGGGGAGGTTGGTATTGCTGACGTTGAGCAGCTGGGCCTGCTCTTCTCCCTCGGTCTCCCTGTGGTAGAAGTAGTTGAAGTTGGACACAATGACAGGCACTGGGAGCGCAATTGTCAACACTCCGGCGATGGCACACAGAGATCCTACAATCTTGCCTCCTATAGTGACCGGCACCATGTCCCCATAGCCCACAGTTGTCATAGACACAACAGCCCACCAAAAGGCGTCCGGGATGCTGCCAAAGTGGGATCCGTCCTCCTCTGCCTCGGCGAAGTAGACAGCACTGGAGAACAAGATGACTCCAATGAACAGAAAGAAGATCAGCAATCCCAGCTCTCGCATGCTGGCCTTGAGCGTCTGCCCCAAAATCTGCAGTCCTTTGGAGTGTCGAGACAGCTTGAAGATCCTGAACACTCTGACCAGACGGATCACCCTGAGTATGGCCAGAGATGTTGCCTGCTCCCCCACTCCCTCTTTCTCTGGGTCTTCGGCCAGCTCTGTGCCGAGTGTGATGAAGTAAGGGATGATAGCCACTATGTCGATCATGTTCATCATGTTCTTGAAGAAGGCCGGTTTGCTCGGGCACGCCAGAAAGCGTACAATCAGCTCAAAGGAGAACCAGATGATACAGAGTGTCTCAATGACGAAGAAGGGGTCAGTGAGGAGATTTGGCTTATAATAAATAGTAGTGTTCCCAAATGGGATCATTCGACCCCTGGGGTCCTCTTTCAGCTGTGGTAAAGTCTCTAAACAAAATATGACAATTGAAATCAGGATTACCATCACAGACACAATGGCGATCACTCTCGCAGGGCCTGAGCTCTCCGGGTGCTCGAAGAGGAGCCAAATCTGACGCTGGAACTCATTTTCGGGTAAAGGACGCTCCTCCTCCCTGATGAAACCCTCGTCTTCACGAAACTTCTCCATGGCATCCGCCCCCAGCTCGTAAAATTTGATTTCTTCTGAGAACATTTCCAAAGGGACGTTCACTGGTCTCCTCAGCCGGCCCCCTGACTGATAGTAATAGAGGATGGCATCGAAGCTGGGGCGGTTTCTGTCGAAGAAGTACTCGTTTCTCAGAGGGTCAAAGTACCGCATCCTCTTCTTGGGGTTGCCGAGCAATGTCTCTGGAAACTGGGAGAGGGTTTTCAACTGTGTCTCGAACCGGAGCCCGGCTATGTTGATGACCACCCTCTCGCAGCATTCGTGGTCATTGTGGTCCGGGGGATAGGTGTCCTGAGGGTGTCCCGGGACAGCCGAGGTGTCGTCCATGTTATCTCCTGCTACCACGGTCATTTTGGAAGGAGGAGGAGGGGGAGGAGGAGGAGGAGTTGTGTAGGGATCCCGGTTAGTCTGACTGAGCAGGCATTCAGGTTCGGGGCAAATTTTCCACTCCTCAGCTTCCCACACCCCTTAAATTGTTGAAGACGTCCCCAGACACGAGGGGGCTACTGGCTGCTTTGCCTCAGTGCGGCTCCAATGCGGTTCTCGCTGACTTGACCATTGCTGCTCTCCTGTGCATCTGCTGCTGTTGTTACTGCTGCCTCTGTCACACAGAGAGAGAGGGAGGGAGGGAGGAAGAGGGAGAGGGAGAGGGAGAGGGAAAGAGAGAGAGAGAAGGAGGAAGAAATAATGGGATCAAACAGCCAAGATATTTGCTGGCTCAGCATTTTTTGCAGTTGCTTTATTTATTTATTTAGTTCTCTCAACCTGCAATAAGTGCAGTTATCTGGTAGTAAAGGTTGAAAACACCCTAAAGAGGTGCAATTCTATAATATGAATATGTAACATCTTACTGTAGCGGTGATAATATGATGATTTTAATATTCCTATAGATGATTTTATGGGCAGTTTTACCCTGTTTCTCTGATACAGTCATATGCTGTTTCTGTAAGGGTGTTCACTTTAGTTTTACATATAAATGATGTGGTTTATGTCTTAAAGGAGCATGACCATCATTTATCCTACGGCACTCTAAACCATCCTGAATTATGATGTGACGCATAGCATCTGATACAGATACTACACCAACTGATGTTTCTACATGCAAACAGCCTAAAGGCTTTCCGCGGGGCAAAGAATATGTAAAACCCATTTACGAGATAGTAAAACAATGCAGTAGTTGTCTAAGCTAACCATTAAAACAACAGCAGCTGTGGAGGAGAAAACAATCTAACCGATATGATTATTGCATAAGTCAGCAGTTTCGGGGCTTACCGTTGGCTGTTCTTGAAAGGTCCTGAATGCGTCTTATCCTCGAGTAAAATCATCCAACGGCAGGGCAGCAGAGGGTGTCATGTGGCAACTTTACATTGCACCTTCCTCAAAAAAAAGAAGCCTACAGCCTCTCTGTGCTCTTCGCCATCCTCAAAGTGCCCCCAAATGTCTTAGGAAGGTGAAGCCAAGTAGAAAAAACAAGATGTGAAATCAGGTGAGTGTAATGAGGAAAGCCTGGGATGGAAAAGGAACAGAAAGAGAGCCGCAGCGTCGGGAGTTGCTCGCTCCGCGGCACGGTGGTGTGAACAGCTCACAGCATACCGCAGGAGAAAATCTTGCGCTGCAATTCAGGGGGGGAGACACATTAAGGGGCAATAAGCGAGCCCTTGACATTTCCAGACATCTCTGCATCAGCAGAAATCTGCCGCTTTTTGCGAGTGGACGAGATGACAGGCACAATGTGTTTTCAGCGCGGCTCGGAGGGCAGGATAAAAGACACGGATAGTGGAGAGTGCAGCAGCGAGGTCCAAATGTTTTCTCCACAATGTCAAGCAAGTTTTGCTGTGCATTTTACATGCAAGTGCAGGGGGAGGTGAGGGGGGAAGAGGGGAGAGGAGAGGAGAGGGGAGGGAGAGCAGCAGGAGAAGCAGGAGGAGGAGGAGTTGGAGGGTTTCGACGCAATGCAGACCGGCTCTACTAAAGCACGCCGGTAGAAGTTCTCCACACACCACAAAAACAAGAGCACTTGTGTGCCAGCACTGGCGCAATCTCACTGCAAAGAGGGACAGTTGGTAACAAAACCTCTAAACCCACACTGGGTGACATTTGAGATGTTTAATAATTTAGAAAAACGAGTCAGAAATTGCTTAGATTATAATACCCATCTACCCCCTAAATATGTTATTTTAATGTGTAAGTGCCCAAATTAGATTGTGTAACTTTCATCAGTTTTCTAGTGAGCAATAAGACAGATAAAGTCCTGCACACAGTGTTTGCACCCTTCATAGTTATGAAACTTGCATTCAGGATGTGCACTATATACTCACACCAAATATCTTATACCTTGTGATACTAAGTTATAACATCCCACCAACCTTCACTCATTGCTGCATATGGATCTGAAAGTCAGACAGTTTTGAAAGAAACGCAGGAATGTTGGCACTGCAGAGGCCACAGGATCAGTTTCAGCACCACGGACAGCGCAGTGATTAATTCACCTCACAGAAAACTACAAATCCCAAAATAATCCAGAATGTACTAAAGTCATTACTGTACAGCAGCATAGCACATATATGTCTCCATTGACTTTGAGTGTATAGGCATGAGGCCTAAACACAGTGAGAGTCAGAGCTGAACTGACTCTAAACAGCTGTCTGCTGACTTTTTAAAAACGAGACATTCAACAAAAAGAGCAGGTCATCAGGTCTAATTTGTTAAATGTGCCTCCAGCCAATTAACCCTCCCCAACATTAATCACTTTGACATTTTATTAAGTTAATTGGTTTTGTGGCAAGACAACACAATATCTGCTTCTGCGCCCTTGTTTTCAAACATTTAGCAGCAAAAGTGATAAAAGATATTGAACCAATTTAAGGGCATTGATTTGTATTACCATATTTATTTGACACAAGTGACTCTCTGTTTGCCTTCTTTGAATACTGAGGGAAGAATGACGAGCGATAAATGTTCTGATTCATAATTTATTCATAAAAAAAGGATTAAGTTAAGTTCACATACATGTTTGAATTAGAAAAATAAATATTTTATTACATTTAAAATTCACAATGCATTCGTGTCATGCAGACATTGCATTGTAATGTCTATGTGGGCTATGTTCTCATGTAGCTGCAATGCAATCCGAATGATTGTAACAACACAGAGACAAGTTGCCATTGCAAGTTTGCATTAAAACTGCATAAGAAAAGGGAAGATTCAGAATTACAAAAAAACGCAGTATACATAGGGCTTTTTATACACAGAAAGCGTGGTCATTAATAAAGCCTACACAAAAGAATGTTGTTTTTTCTACTGTTGATAAACACAATGTCCATTATCGCAGACTGAATCTTTCCAAAGCGTTTCCTCCATCTCTGTATATACAACACTGGCAATGCAAGAATATCGGTGAGAAAAGTATCCACTACTTTGGAGAAGAAAATAATCCCACGCTTGTGTTTTGTTGCGACTCTGAAACACGCTTCACAAACTCGTCTGCCTCCTGCAAGTAAGCAGAAAATAAAACTCTATTAAAGTGGACCTATCATGCTATATTATAATAATATAGTGTAGGACCATACCTATATAAGGCATATTTATACTTTTTTTTTTTCAAAATACCAAACAGATCATGCATTTTAGCCATGCCTCATTTCGCTTAATTTGCACTTTTTTAGCCCTGTTTTGCAAGGGCTGATTCTGTGAGAACAGCACCACCTACAGGCCTGGTATATGTACTACAGCGTCTCCAGCGCTTTCGAACGGCAATGGCCGTTGCTGTCTCCTCCTGATTGGTGGAGTTGGCCCAATAGCCGTAGCGCCACTGTCCTGACGTCAGGACAGTGTTCAAATCTGGATCAGTTTTTATCAGATCCGTTGCAGCCCCTTTTTTAGAGATTTGGGTATGGAGGAAAAGAGAGAGGGTTGTGTTTTCTGACACTTGGTGAGTTCCCTGGAACACCGGGGACACATATTCATGTATAAAAGACGTACAAAAGTGCATTTTGCATGATAGGTCCCCTTTAAGTAAACAGTAATAGAGAGCAGTCAGGCTTCTGCTGAGCTTAGTTAACCATCACAAGCATCCATAGAGTCAAAGAGCATGATCTCAGGGGCTTATGCCTTAATCAGTCAATGTCAGGTGCAACAGTGCAGAGATACACAAGCTGACGTTTTCATTTTACACAGCATTCTGAGCAGGGATGAGTTTCATCCACAGAGGGGCGCTCACAGCTCACTTTCCTGATCAGATTGAATAAAGGTATGTTGCAAGCTCCGAATAAACAAAGTCTGGGATGGCTCCTAAAGTGAGGTTTGTTTTTTTAGAAGAAAAGTATAGAAAGCGATGCTGTCATTAAGAGATATGTATATTTTAACTATGGATAACTGATCTCGTTATTATGTAAAACATGTACACTTTTGACAATAGTACCCTGAGGGATTAAGCCAACAATTCACAGTCCAAACAGACGTAAGAAAGCTCTAATGTTCCAAAAGGGACAGCAGTTATGAGTCATCAAAGCGAAATGCAAACCCATTTCCTTCTAACTCTTGCGTAACTCGTTTGGGAATTGGCTACGTGATAGTATCAAAGTTTGGTTCGTGCGTAAACACCAGTTAAGGGGCTTTTTACAAAAAATGTTTTGACTGAACTGAGAAATTAAAGATACGAACACATTGTTGTCAATGATCCTCTATTGACTGCTCAGTTTGTTAGCATGGCTCAATTACGGCTAGTGGTATTTCAGCTATGCGCTGTGTGCCCCAGGGGTTCCCAAATGTTTGCATGTCAGGGCTATGGTATAGCTTTACTGCACAGTTCCCCATGTATTGACTGTTGCTCCGCTCCTTTGCCACATTTTAATACATCACGGTACATTTAAGCCAGTTCTCACTTTGGTGGGGGCTCCTGTAGCATAAACATATGAGGCTCCACTTTTAGAAAAACACTTTAAAACAGATTGCGTAAAAGCAACTGCAGCCCCCAGAGGAGCTTTAATGATATGTCCACTGGAAGACAACTCACCAGAAATAAAAACTCCTTCCAACGTTTTATACCTCTGTCAGTCTCACTGTGTATGTCTCCACTGGGATTACTTTTGGATGTGTCAAAGTTTCCAAGTCGTCGCTCTCCTGGAAGGACACAGTTTTGGAGAGCGACTGGTTGCTTTTGTTTGAATCACTTTCACTTAAGGAGGGCTGCTGCTGCTGCCCGCATTTGACGTGCACATACACAACATTTTCCTCATCGTCGTTCTCTCTGTGGTAGAAATAATTGAAATTTGACACTATGACAGGGACAGGTAAAGCTATGGTTAGCACTCCTGCAATGGCGCACAACGATCCAACGAATTTGCCCCCAATGGTGGAGGGGCACATGTCTCCATATCCAACTGTGGTCATTGTCACCACTGCCCACCAAAACGCATCGGGTATACTTGTAAATCCAGAATCTGGGTCTTCTGCTTCTGCGAAATAAACCGAACTGGAGAATAAAACAACTCCAATGATCAGGAAGAAGATGAGCAGTCCCAGCTCCCTGAGGCTGGCGTGAAGCGTCTGGCCCAGGATCTGGAGACCTTTGGAGTGCCTGGAAAGTTTAAAGATCCTGAAGACTCGGACCAGACGGATGACCCTGAGGATGGCCAGAGACGCTGCCTGCTGACTGCTGCCCTGATGCTCCGCCAGGTCAAGGCCCAGGGTGATAAAATATGGAGCTATTGCCACAACATCGATTATGTTCATGATGTTTTTAAAGAAAGCTGCTTTACTGGGGCACGACAGAAACCTCATGGTGAACTCAAAGGAGAACCACACGATGCAAAGTGTCTCCACCATGAAAAACGGATCTGTGAACGGACTGGCCTCAAAGGCGATGATACTCCCATTGGGATGAGTTTTTGGCACCAGTGGGACCTCTCTAAACTCGGGTAAAGTCTCCATGCAGAATATGATAATGGATATTAAAATAACCACAACAGACACAATGGCGCTTATCCGTGCAGGTCCTGAGCTTTCTGGATATTCAAAAAGGAGCCATAACTGGCGTTGGTATATGTTGGTTGGCAGAGGGCGATCCTCCTCCCTCGATAAACCCTCATCGTCTTTGAAAAGTTCAATGGTCTCCTCCTCAAATTCATAAAACTTTAACTCCTCCAGGAAAATATCCACAGGTACACTGACGGGCCTCCGGAGCCTCCCTCCTGACTGGTAATAGTAGAGGACGCCGTCAAAGCTCGGCCTGTTCCTGTCAAAGAAGTATTCATTCCTCAGAGGGTCAAAGAAACGCATCCGTTTACGCGGATCTCCCAAAAGCGTGCTGGGGAAGCGCGAGAGGGTCTTTAGCTGCGTCTCGAAGCGCAGACCCGAGATGTTGATGACCACGCGCTCGCTGAACTCCGTGTCGGCTGCTTCCAAGTCAGCAGCATCTTGCAACAAAGGAGTTACGACCACAGTGTCGTCGTGGTTCTCCTGGGACACCACGGTCATCTTTTTTACCCCTCCGAGGGTAAACCCGTCACTCACCTCCTCTGGGTTCTCCTCTGTTACCCGTGCGTCCTCACAAGTCTCCGTCTCATGCAGCCGCTCACACTCAGAAAAACACTCCCCACCTGTTTAGTTTTTTTGCTCCCCAACTGTTTTTGTTTGTTGATATCGAAAATTGTTCGTCCAGTTGTTGATTTATACCGTCCCTTTGTCAGATTAGTGCCTCTGAACTGTCAACTTTCAATGGTGCAGACAGATCTCCACTTGCATAAGCTATCCCGATGGCCATGGCTATCATATTCACACCATTTTAAACTCCAAAGCCCTCCCCAAGTTGGAAGACCAGATGACACTTGCTGCTGCTGCTGTCCCTCTCACACTCACCTCACTGTAGCACTGCACTGATTTACAAGTACCGGGATAGCCTTACAAATGTAGTCTTTTTTATTGTTGTTTATTTGTTGCACTTTTACATGTATCTTAAAAACAATAATACAAAGTTTGGTTAAAGTTGGAACATTTTGTACAGGAGGGGGGGGGGGGGGGGGAAGTCCCCTATATTAGATATCAATAGTCATAGGAAATGAAGTGTGAGATAAAAACAAATCATACTTAATTAATCAAAATTTTAAGAGTAGGCAGTATTACTAAAATGGATAGAAATCTACTCCTTTCCAAGTTGAGATAAATCATGTCATAATTGAAGTGCTATAAATCTACATTTATCTTTCTAAAAATATCCCACATTAAATTCCTCAGTCTACTCTATATCCCTGTTCAGAGAAAGGTCCATAACTTTACTGGATCCAGAGGCTACTGAGAAACTGATTCTCTCAACCTGCAGGTCCCTCATTCATGAAATCATGTGGCTATTCTTGTCACAAGGGAACCTCCAGCACCCGGCCGGTGTCTACTTTGGGTCACAGCCCACCGTTTTAGAAACCAGGAGTGTTGACAAATAGATCCAGCATGTTAACAGTATTGAGGGTTTCTTTTCTGCAGCTACATAACTTGAAATAAATGACATGAAACAACCCGAATGCTCTGAAGCGCAGGGCCTTGTAGAGCCAGGAGCCCTGCTGGACCCGGCCAGTGGAAAGTGCTGGCTGTACTGACACTTGAGTAGACCGGGGAGGATAGCATCTTCAGAAAGTCACGGCCGAAATAACACCCACCTTTTATAGCACTTAAAAGGCTCAATTGTACAGCTTGGAACACGGCGGACCCTCAGAAGACAAGTGACCTGGCTATGGGGTCACTGAAATATGAAGGTGTTAAAAAGAAAATCGGCCACCTTCAGTCTTATCAGTTCCCTATTAGACCTTGTGTATCCAGCAATAGTTCAGGTTTCAATTTCTTACATGTTAAAGATTAATAAATCTATTGGAGTTTGGTTGAGACTTGGCCCGAGTGTACAGAGTGAATTGATATGTGTACCGCAGCATTGTGATCTAATTATAGCCTGTTTTTTTCCACTTTCATTGCCTTCATGAAGCTGCATCAGGTATGTCAGTCAGTGCAGTTGTGGACGCAGCAATAATGGCTCAAGGGCGATAATCAGTGTTACTAAAACCAACCTGAACGCTTTGCATTATTACCTTGATGGGGGCAATCTTTGTTGGGGGCAACATGCCACCACACATTTTTACGAGAGAGAGGTTGTATATCTTTTTCATGGTCAGGTTAACAAGCACAGCCCCCCCTAAAGGAGCACAGGGTTTTTTTTGCCTTTCCATTAGTGAACAAAGGGGTTGGATGTCAGAGTCAAATGTCAGTGTCAGGACACGGAGCCGCCTGCTGCTAATGTGTTAGCATATAGCGTTCAGCAAATGACTATGGGTCACGCCGAGGTGTCAGGCGTTGAATGTAACCAAGGAAACAAACAATAATAAACAAGCTGAGGAATGGAGACACAACTCTAAATCGGTCAGTCCAAAAAATACTCACAGTATTAGAGTTTCCTCGATCTGGAAAGATCACAGTAACCTCCCCTTGTCAGCTACATTGGTATTTTTCTCCATATTCATTTGTGGATCAAAAATAGTTTTTAGACTCAATATTATTATTTTGAACAATATATTTTTTTATTATTTATTAGGATTATTTATTGTCCTTTCATGTTAAACCCAATAACATATATCTAAAATGTACATAGCCATTATATATACTACACATGCATGGTATATACAATTATAAAAAACATGTATTATTATATATTTAAATACAGTATAACAACATATTCTCCATGCATGTTTGTGGTGGGGCTTTCCGTAGGGCCTTTCTATAGAAACACATACCTTTAGATATGCAGAGAGACATGCATTTACGTGCATACTTTACAGTGACTGCAATGAGACGTAGCCTGGGAGACACATGCCATAAAGCCTGCAGGGTGAATGCTGACAGCGGGGAACCTCCCTTCGTTATTAATGGCTCGACCCATGAATGCAGGAGACCCCCATGGAAACAGGATACTGTGGATTCTCTCACACTGAGAAAAAGAAAATGTGCTTTCTTATCATTCTGCAGAGGATTACATTTGTTTGAATGTTTGAGAAAATCAGTGATCTCTACTGGCATTTATAGCATCATGATTTCATATTGTGTTAATGAAGATTAAACCATATTTATTTCAAAAATAGCACGATGGAAAAACATTAATTATTACTAATTGACTATTAATTATATCAACATCATTAACTTTGAATGAAAAACGCTTACTGATGTTCTGAAAAAACAATAAATATGTTTCTTTTTAGAGTTTGTGTTTATGAGCATGTTGATTGATGACACTTGTTCCTCTGACTCTTGTCTTTGTCTAAAAATAGACAGAATGAGGCTCCTTGCTAACACTTTACAGACGTGAGGTAATCACAGCAGCCTCTTGCGTCACTGACTCCTCTTGGCGTTCCTCTTTCCAAACCCCAGGCCAAGTATTTACAAAGTGTGTGTGTGTATTTCTGTAAGTGTGTATCCATCATTAGTACGATTGTGAATTAACTCACGTGTATATAAAGTGTGTGTGTTTGTGTCTGTTATACATTTAAATGGGAGTTTTTAGAAGGTCAGACGTGCTAGTCAACAGCTCCAGATCACTTCGCTTCACTTTCAACTAATCCGCTCAAAGTGAAATAGGGCTGAAGGGCTGGTGATGACAACGTCTCAGGAATGACACAGGCATTAGTTTATGAAGGTGGAGCTATATCTGGGATCCTCTGATTCAAGCTGCTTTAAAATAACTCCAAACAGCTACAATTTCCTTACCAGTATCCAAGGGTTTGCACTGACCTAGGGACAGAAAGGCTTCTCCTACTTTTCGCCATTGACTTCATAACCTATATATAATCTAGTGCCCTTGAAGAAATGATAAAGCCATGTGAAAAGCTCATGATACCCAGCGATGCAACAGATGCATTTTATTTGATTGACTATTTTCCGTGTCTGTTGGTTCTTTTTCTTTTTGAACTGTAACTAGTGTGCTAGATTTTCACCTCAAGGGACTTCCTAGATAAACACATTTTCAATTAATATATTTTAATAAAGGATCACTACTTATTATTCAAAACAACAACTTACCTAAAGCAAGTAAGGTCAATGACTTCTATACAGCTGTAGGTTAAAAAATAGGGTTGCACAATATGACGTTATATGTCATGAGGGGATATGATCGGTCTATAGCTGTCACACAAATCTCTCTGAGTCTATCAGTACTGTGTGTGTGTGTGTGTGTGTGTGTGTGTGTGTGTGTGTGTGTGTGTGGGTGGGTGTGGGTGTGGTGCAAGTTACTGAGGCTGATTTATGAGAATATTTTGTTATCACTGTATTCAAATGTGCTAATAATAGAGTGAAAATTAATATATTGTATCATAAATCTTGAGCTGCAGCTGTCTATTATTTTAGTTTTAATATTCTAAAAACATTTCAAATGATGAATTGGATAAGAAATAATTTAGCTTTATTGAAGAGCAATTGTAGTATGAAAAATAAAAAATAAAAACAGGCCTCTTAAAATTAACTAATAATTTTCCTTTTTATGTTAAATCAACATTTTAAAAAAAAGTTATCAAAACATAACCCCTTTCATTGCATTTAAGTGCCATTCTACATTCTAGGTTTTAAAAACAACTACCAATGTTGTGGGGGAAACTTCTGAAGCAATTGGAAACAGGACTCAGAGAGACACGAGGAGAGCTGGAACATTGATGGCAAACACTGGTGGTTTATTTGGAGCTTCGGCCGAAGAATTCACAAGACATGTCATGCGCCACGAGTTGACACAAACGATGCCAAACCAATTCTGAAGATCTCTAGCTGGTTCTGAGAGAATAGTCAACATGCTGCATAACAAGATAAAACAGGCAAAGCACAATAACACCTCTATCAGCTGACGCCTACAGGCAGGAACAGGGAGACAAAACACTGAGAGCACAGCCGCCAAGGCTACAGGTGCGTGAGCTCAGTGAGGGCAGTACAAACTGATAAACTGGGTCAAAGTTATGGGCCTTGGAAAATATTTCCCCAACACATGTAATGAAAAAAATATATATATATATATAAATCACTTGAAAAAAGGGATACACATCATGGCATCTAGCTCAGTGCTCATGTTTTGATTTGATTTGACCCTACATACAGTACATCTTCAAATCACACTGTGAACTTTATATGGATTACAGCATACATTTAAGTCTTCACTCATCAGCCGGTGCATATGGCTAAGTTGTGAGGAGCGTGTGCAGCTGCATCTAATTAATGGTGTGAAAGTTTTAGCCTAATAGAGCCTAAGCTGTGTTTAAGCTGTGCCCATTACCCACTGTACAAGAGAGTGGACCGAGCCTCCTCACACCGAGGTGTCTGAACCCAGGGCTTCCACAGAGCTCTTTGCCAGTTCCTTGGTTTTGATATCCACCAATTTTAGCCTGCTGTCATCTAAAGTTGACGTTCATGTTTTTGCTGATAGGTAACGCGCCATTCAGCAGCGAGAGATGAAACTGGATACCTCAGATCCGGAGGGCAGGGTTCCTTGG